TGATCAGAACCCAATCCGAACACATCTTCATGGCAGGTGCAGAAATTTTGTACCATGGCCGCCAAAGTATTCGCGCCAATTACAGAACGATGGATCTTGTGTCATACAGGACTAGCAGGGAACGAAATGGCCGACAGCCTCACCATCACGACAGATCAGCGAACTCTCGCGGCAACAAGGCGCAAATCCCGTGAACTAACAAGACAGCTGCTAAAATACAGGTCGGACTCACACCGGCAAAAGCGATACGCAGATCTCGTCCTCGAGATGCAGCGCAAAAAACCGCCAGAGCTCGCTCTGCCTTAAGCTGTCTATACCTGCCTGATAGCAGCTCGAATAGGACATGAGGACTTGGCGGCATACCATCGCTACTTCAAACACACGACAGCTGTGCTTCAATTCCATTGCGGCAGAGAAAATTCAGTTAGCCTCCTTTTGCAGTGCAGATAAGCCATACTGTGACGGAAACCGAGTTGGTAATGAATAAATCAATTTATTAAACTATATGAAGAGAAAAGAAATCTCTAGCTACTACTAACAGGTGCTTATAACGTCTGGTCCGCTTCGTGAATCTACTGACTGATAACTTCTCCCTAGGCCTAATACTTGCTACTGAGCCAAGTATTATCGGGAGCCATTACGCTATGATGTTGCTTCGACCTCCTGGCTAGTAGTGCCATTTCATCTCTATTTGCCCATCCTTCCTCTTTCAGTCTTATCGTAATTATTCCTAATTAAACGCTTAGGTTTCCTCCTAAGCTAAAACAACGGTCAAACCGTAACACATACTACCATGGCAGCTGAAAAGCGGAAGACGGAGGTTGCCAGAATTAGGAGCCCTGCTCGGATCAAATGACTGGCGACTGATCAAGGAGTACGTGCAGGGCAGTGAAATTTACGCGGCCAAAAGTCGGAGCAAAGGAGGAGTGACGATGCAAGGTATCTTGTGAGAGCGAAGCCCCATTGGTTATTGTAATTAAATCGAATTAAATAAGAAACGAGGCTCAGGCGCGTGGCGGCTGGGGCAGCATGTGGGAAGGGTTTTTTTACTTTTTACTTTTTACTTTTTTTTTTTAAATCGTCTTTTTTTCATTGTAATGCGGGTTTTCGCGTGAGAGTTTCCTTGAGTTTTCCTTACCTTAGGCTACTGGACTCGCAATGATTCAACACATGTATGCAGATCAGCATGGCTCCGGTCATTTAGGTGGGACAAGGTATATTTATACTTTACAGTAGTTGATATGATCCAGTCCGACCCAACTGGTGCTCAAGCTCCAGTAGAAGTGAGGTGGGTCTCATATACCTAACACATCAATGAACAAAACAAAACCCCCAGCGTATATGTCAGACCAGGATCAGAGCACGATGGAATACGTATTCTTCACTTGATGTTTTCGTGATTCATGTAAATTCCATTCTTCTAACATGATTGTAAGATTATTGTCGGAATGATATGCCAAGCTGGTACCTGACATAATTTGTGATTGCCTCAGGAAAACCTTGGCGTTTTTGGTAACTTGTCAGCTAGAAACTACTTGACGTCCGCGTCACAGACGTGGTGGACTGGTATTGAGTCGTTTTAGGATTACATCTTGGCTAAAACATGTTTGGATTGTGTCTTTTGATGAAAGGAAGCTATTTCTAGATATTATCATTATATGTCAGGTAGTAGATATGTGTAGATATATAGGCTGAGAGAAAGAGGAAGGAAGAGAGACAGACAGACAATTACATCTTTTTAATTACTTCAATTGAGAGCTCCTGTGTGAGCTCTTCTTCCAGATACCTCTAGTCTCAATTATTAAAGCTTCAGAACCAGCTCAAAAGGTTCGACAGTATAGCAATCAATATAGTCAATGATAAGGTCCAGGATCCATATAACGGTGCCGGTGAAGCACTGAAAGTACTACGTGCACCTTCAAATAATTTATTATTGGCAGAGATATAAGCAGAATCTAAGGGAACATCAGATGCAACATGCAGACTTATCGAAGAAGATATTGTTAGAAGACTATACTGCTGGTAAATGCCTGAAGCTTATAATGTATATTGTTAGAAGACTATACTGCTGGTAAATGCCTGAAGCTTATAATGTATATTGTTGTGCTACGAAGTTCTACACCCACGATACACTCTATAGACCCTAGTTTAGACCAGCTTACAAATCAAGTCACATGTATTCTAGGGCTCAGTGACTGATACTTCAACAAGACTTGATAGAAGAATATCTGTTGGTAAAACACGAAGTAATACAAATTTGGTGCCGTCACGAAGTCAGCTGTCCGTAACGAAGTCGGTGAATATGTGACGGTCTTAAAGTGTCGTTTTATTCAAACTGAACTCAGAGCTAGATACAAATGAAAATCTTAAAGTAACGAGCAGAGACATGACTGAAAGCCTCCTATTTATTTACAAGACTATGATCTCGTTCCCTCATTTCATACCATTCTCAAAATAGATCATGACCTGTCCTCCGACAAACACCAGCATCTCCGTCTATTTTAATTCAGGACTGGTGTTCGAGTCGTCTTGTCTGCAGTCTAAATTTGTCATTTAAGAATAGATTTGCATGAACTGGGCCAAGGCCTATACTTGGGTCTAATGAGTCGTGGAGGGGCTCATGACATGTATGATGTTTAATATGGTTGGAAGAGTTCAAGCCTTATTTGTTAGGCAGCAGCCTAATGATAACCAGGTATGAGCCTGTGACAGAATAATGTCAATTAACTGGTATCTCGAAATACATCAACCGTTGTCTCTTTTTCCTTCCTTTCCCCCTTCTTCCTCTACTCCAAGCGCCTCGCTTATGAGCTAAGTCAGATCCCTGTCAGTGTTCTAACGAGAACCTGAATACCGCAATAACATAGAACAATTCAAACTGCCCAAATTACGATCTATTTACCGACAATATCAAAATTAGAGAACAGTATATCGTTTATTCTAGGAGGGATAAGCAAACCATGGAGACCGTTGGAGACATAAAACACTAACACATCTGCAAATCAGAACAATGCAGTGGACGCAGCAAATGCGCCTCGCACACCTCCGTCGAGACGCCATGATATGAATATCGGACCAGTCGAGTGCTATTACTACGGTACTAATCTCATAAGTAGATTCAAAATTGTACTTGGGCGATAGCACATCCTATACAGCTGGTACGAATCAGAATGGAAAATAAAGGCATTTACTATCCAGATAGTGTAGATGCCAACTTTCACGTACCCGTATACTTTGTACGCGAGAGCTCCAACCTACGATGTAGTATACCTAGTGTTAGACTCAAGAATGAAATAGAAGTTCCGCTTATTGGCAAGAGAGCCACAGGCTTCGATTCAGTACTACTGCGAATAGCATCCCGAGGTCCAAGTTCGATAGCTACTTTACCAGAAACTAGACTGTGTGAAATATCCACTACAGCAACGCGTCCTATAATGGATGCAGTTTCGAGGATATTTCAAAGACTAAGTGACTTTGAATGCATTCTTCCACCACAGCAAGTAGATATATTTGCTGCAATTTTAGAGTAAGAAGAGCAGGAAGTTTAGCTCAAGGATAAAAGTGACATATATCTAGGGGTAGTATTGTGGATCCAGAAGATTCGGATCATAGTACCTCTGTGCAATGTTCGGAATAACTATTACACACATCACCTTTGTAGAGTAGTAGCTTTTATGCATATAGAAGATATACCTGTTATGAATCTACTTATTGGCAGATTTTCGAAGCTGTTAAGCTGCAGAGGTTGAGTCGATTTCGACGAAGACAAATTATCGAAGGTTCGAGGTTACAAAGTTACGAAGGTCGAAGGTCGAAGGTCGAAGGTGCAAATGTCAAATGTGCAAAGGTATGAATGAAGGTAATCGAGGCTCGGATTATCAAAGTTACGAATTCATATGTTCAGATTATCATATTATCAAAATATCGAGTTCCCAATAAGCAAATTGTACAATAAACAAAAAAGAAACAAAATTGTTAGAACTAAAGAACAAATTCAAATTTCCAGCTTGAACAAATCCAAATCCTGTTGCCTCAGACCTAACCGAATTAAGAAGATAACCCCTACATCACCACATCCAGATTAAATCTAACAAATTCATAACAATACCATACAGATCATACCAGACCTTTACATACAGATATAAATGTACAATAAGGGCCTAGTGATATTAGTATTCAAGACGCACAATATTTCACCTTCTCATGTAAAATAAGCTACTCAGGCCATATGACCTTCCTAGCAGTACATAGATTTTATCTGTAGTAGTAGGACTCTCTTCGTGCTGTGCGCGGGCATGACGTTAAATATTATAACTAATTAAATAAAATTAGGGCTATCTAGTTAACATATACAACGTAATACGTGTGACAAGTATCATTCTTAAGAACATATAAAACGAAAATTTGTATACGCATGTCCTAGAATTAAAGCAAGCATACAAACACCAGTTTTTACAGTGAAAATTTATCAGCACTACTAATCACACAACCATCGTACAGAGAATGATAAAGTTTTAACCCCGCACCATTGATGCCATCCCAATTAGCGCAAAGTAAACGCAAGCTAACCTTGTATTAGATTTGCGCCCAATATTATACTAGCCCACGCATGCAAATGCATAAGAAAGTTGCACAACAGCGTAAAGAGATCAGAATGCAGAATATTTAATGTTGTATGCAGTATGCAGGAAAGTTGTTCATAGTTACAAGGAGTGCCAATGATTGTAAGAGATGTGGTAAATTCTGAAAATTTTGGAATTGCTTCGCTTTCCAATACTAAAGCCTGGGGTAGAGAATTCGCTCAACTGTGATGAGCCAGTAATACGGTCCTATTCTAGTCGTCCACTGTCAGACTATGTATCATCTATGGCACCAACAGTTAAGATGACATTTATTAAGAATATTATGAAATGTGAAACAATAGGTCAGGCATGTGTAGAACGAGAGAATCAAATGGTAAAGTGAAATTTTAGAGTATATGCAACAATTATGATCTTTTCTCAATAAATATTTTCTATAAAGTTCTTGCACCAAGTCAATGTCTCGGATGCATCCTGCTCAAGCTCATCGTAAGCATCATAATCAATAACCTGTGACATGCGTTGTCTAACGTATGTAATTACATCTCTAGGTAATCCGGTTGCAGTGAAGTTGTCAATTATAGCCGCCTCTATTATTTGCGAGAATGTAGAGTCATTGTCCAAATAAGTGGATATCCACCTTCCAATAGACTTCATATGCACAGCTTCGACTGGACTTATGTTGTCCGCAATTTCTTCCACAGATATCGATGAAGGTGTTTTAGTTGCAAAAGAGTATTCTGTATCTGCTACACTTTGAGCTCTCGAAACAACACCATGGGTTACACTGGATTGTAAAGAAGTAGCAGGAATAGACTCTGATGTGTGTCCTGCAACTAGACCTTTCTGAATAATAAGCACTTGGGACGAGCCCGATTCACTAGTGTCTCTCACTTGACGCCGAAAAGCCCATCTCGAAGGTTTACCCGGAGGCGTAATAATTGTAGACTGTGTGGGTGCAACGTATGGCTTCTGAAAGGATTGAAAATTTGTTTGACTATGCTTTACAAAGTCATTCGTAGAGAGCTGACAGGTAATAGACTCAGATGCCATCACAAAAGAAAGAGCATGTGCACTTAGTGTACAGGTATAAGATTCTATTGCCTTCACAAAGTTTCCGAGGGCATCTTCAAGTTGATCCAATATAGCTTTTGCCTCAGGTAGCTGCTTGATGTCTGTCATTCTCCCGACAAAGATAGAGTACTGTTTTTGTACACTATCTGAGCTAATCTTAATATTTTCTGTACTCACACGGAATGCCTCCATGTTCTGCTCTACTCTTTTGTCGTCTCGCTCGTCAGGCATCTTTGCGTATTCTTTAACTATACTGCACAAAAGGCTACTCGCCGCTGTGTTTCAAAGGTGATGAGATGCGATGATGTATCAACGAGTGTAACGGCTGGTAAGCCGATTGGTTCCTGTAGCGCATGTTGGCCAACATGAGCCTAGCCTGATATTGGTAGCGCACGATTGATCGACATCAATTTTTTTTATTTTTTTTATTTTTTATAAATTTTAGGTCCTAAGCTATGCTCTATATCTCCTAGGAGTCAAGGACCGGTGTACACGGCCAAGATCATGCTTCCCACATGCCCGACTCGGTCTCACTGCGTGACCCACTACACAACCAGTAGCTAGTTATAAGAAAGAATTTAAATGCTCCCACAGACTCCCATAACCAAAATTCCAAATCCAATACTCCAATTTGAGGTGGGAAAGCGACACTCCTCGTCTCGTTTTCCTTCCTGTCATGCTTCGTGCTATGACCTAGTTAATGTTGTCTCCGCTGAGAGCTGGTGACGGACTTGCAGGTGAGTCGCCGAAGAAGCCGGTTTCCTGCACCAAATTTGTAAAATCCTCAAGGCACTTAGGCCCGAGAAGCTTTTGGACAAAGTCGTGATGTGACATTGTCCCTCGGAGTCGACGCGTCTGACGTTCGTGCAGTCGACAGTGAATGAAGTGGAGAGGTGATGTTTCCTCTCCACACGCACACTCCATAGAAGCGGTGAAGTTGTTGAAACGACGGTGACATGCAGCGAAGTTTCCGTGTCCCGTTCGAGCTGAGATCAGTTCACGTAGTAACCGCCGAGAAAGTGCCTGCTCCTGTGGCTTGCGGATCGACATCAATGTTTGTTTGTTTGTAATTTTAAGGTCCTAAGCTACTGCTCCCGGTCCGCTATGGGTACAAGACCGGTGGAGCTGGAAGGGATCCCTGTGTTCTTTACCACAGCCCAACTCATTCCAACCGCGTGAAACCACTACCTAAATTGTAGCCGGTTTAAAACAAAAACAAATTCTAACAGTCAAAATTAATAAACAAATGAAATTCCAATATAACGGTCCAGTATCAGCGCTCCTCACCCTGACTCCTTCCCTTTCACGGTTTCCACCATAAATATTATTCTTCGTCCATGCTGAGAGCTGTGGACAAGGTCGCAGGTTGGCTTTTGAAGCAGCCAGTTTCCTGCACAAACGTTGAAAATTCTTTGAGGCAATTGGGATCTAGAAGAATTTTAAGAAATTGTTGGTATGGGGTAGTTCCCCTTAGTCGTCGGGTATGACGAGTGTAAAGTCTGCAATGCATGAAATGCGTTGCTGTAGTCTCCTCTCCGCACGAACACTTCATGTTCGCGGATCGACATCAATGTGTGGATATATGATGCCACTCAACAGAATATCAAGGCATCGGCATCTAGTTCGGCAGGGCAGCAATATTGGACCATTCAGCTACAACACATGTGAAGAATCCCATTGGAACCGAGAGGGAGGGACTGTGCCTCAACCACATAGACAATGTATATATAAGTATAGATAGAGACTGAAGTAGTTTTCTCTTCAGAATGATAATTTACATACTATCAACCACATAGTTGCACCAGGAACGAAAGCCTAGGTGATCTGGCATGGAAGTAGGGATAGGAATCGAGGCTCGGGCGCGTGGTGGCCGAGGCGGAACGATGGAAGGGAGATTGTCAAAGTTTTTTCTTTTGTAATGGAGGACTTTGCGTGGAAGTTTTCTTTTGTTTTGTTTTCAACTCTGGGCTGCTGTACTCGTCATGCTTCAACACATAGATGCGTTTCGGCATGGTTCCGGTCATTGAGGTGGGACGAGGCACTTGTACTTTACGGTAGTTAACCTGATCCGGCCCGACCCCACTTGTGCTCAAGCTCCAGTAGGAGTGCGACGGTAGTTACTTCACCTAGCACGTTAATGAACAAACAAACGCACCATTCGAGAAATTCGAAAACTCGAAAACTCCCTATTTCACTTTTTCCATTCCTATGACCACTTCTGTGCTTGACTTCTCGAATTGTTAACCGTCGCGAGGTATTTAAAATGCCTCCAGTGAGAAATAATCGCCCAAAGCCGACAACTTCAGCCGGCTTTGAACGGACATCATTGTATCCAAAACCTACTGGCCTCGCGCAAAAATTATCAAGCCTATTTGCGAGTGAGGCCTTTGTCCCAGGGAAGTCCACAAATCTTCCCGATCAAGAGATGACTGATTCAGAACCGATCAGAGCAGAAAACAATGGTCCCAAGACCAAAACCCCCGTCGAGCTGGCCCCAGTGGCAAGCAGCTCCAGGAAAGGAAAGGAAGTTGTTCGAGAAAAGACAACCGAACGTGCAGAATCATCTGCAGGAAACAATGCTGTGCCAGCCTCTAAAGGCGCAGCATCGACATCAGCAATGGAGTTTCCACCAGAGCTGCAATCAGTGATGGAGGCCGAAAAGCGACGTACGACGCAAATTACGGCCCGCCTCGCCATCTGCTCGACTGCAATAAACAGTGTTGAAGCAGCACTTTCCCCTCTTTCGATCGGCGAAAATAAAGAATTTGTAGACGGAATCAAAGTCTATCTTCGAGCAGCCATCGGCCAGTTCGTACAATCTGGCCCAGGGAGCACACCACCAGTTCTCCCTGCTCGCCCCGCCAACCCTCTTCCGCCGAGGGCACCAGAAATAAGGGTTCCTAACCCTCTAACAACCCAGGCTCCGGCCCCAAAGACAACTTGGGCTACCGTATCTCGGGTAGGCCTAGCCTGTAGCGCTGGGCAATCGACAAAAAAGGCAGCACCGCCCGCCCAGAAAGCAAAGAGTGCCAACTCGAGGACAAAAGCCGATTCACGACTTTTTCTGCGCCTTGAATTCTTCCACCCCCACCGTCTCCTCTCCCCAGCTGGCGTAAGGCTAGCGGTGTCTCAGGCGCTGGGAACCGCTGCCAACAATATCACGTTGGTTCAGCGGGTAAAGACCGGCTTTGCAATAACTGCAAAGGATGAACTCGCTCGAACAGAGCTCCTAGATTCCTCCACATCACGGAGCGAATCTGGAATCAAACTGGAACCAGCATCAAATCTGGTTGCCATGCAAATTGCCACCGTCCCGGAGACAATTCGAACTCTTGCTGGCCCAATCGCCGTGACGGCAAAGATGGTTGCCGACGAAGTCACGCGAGTGACCCAGTTGGTTCCCTTTCTGGTTCGTCCTCATGGGACTAGCAAACCAGGGGCGCCCTACTCAAATTGGCAAGCGCTATTTCCCCGAGAATCCGCTTCTCGACCTGGATTCCGCCTTTTCGACGACTCTGGAGCTGCAAAGCTCTTCCGACCTCGTCACAAAATCGAACAATGCAAACGGTGTCTTGAATTTCACGCCACCCGTGGTTGTTCCCGCGCTCCAGCTTGCTGGAATTGCGGATCTAATATGCACTCAGAATCAGAGTGCAAGGCCCTCACCCGGTGTCGAAACTGTGGGGGACCTCACCGATCGGATTCCCGGGCCTGCTTAGCCAGACCCAGCAAGTCCGGACTGGTGACAAAAGAGCAGCTCGCGCGGATCCGCTAGATCCAGCAAGGGGAGTTCGCGAAAGTGGCTCGATTTAGGGCTGCAGCCAAAAGGGCCGAAGAGGCAACGATGGCCTCAACGAAGGATGTCTCGATGGCCGAGGGATCGGGTTTCGGAATCCTGGAATCCGAAGAAGAAGTTTGAGGGTACAGCAACCCTCGGTGAAGTCTACAGATGGCTTCAAAGTATATAGCAGGATACCAGCTGAATTCAGGGTATCTGCGAACTAGTCTTTCGCTCTCAGCGGAGATAAGAAAAAGTCACGTGGAAGATGTGGCAGGAAAAGGAACGGGCGAGAAGCGCGGGATCCGAACCAAACAGTATTTCTTCCAAATTTGATTTCAGTTTTTGATTTCAGTTTTTGATTTATGTTTTTGATTTTAGTTTTGCTGTTAACTTCTACAATTTCAGTAGAAGTTCATGCGGTTGGAATGAGTTGGGCCTGTACGCAGTGATCCTTGCCGGCTCCACTGGTCCTTGACCCAATGTGGAAAAGATAGCGTTAGCTTAGGACCAAATGTAAAAACAAACAAACAAAAAACACAATTTTTTGAAATTCGAATTTTCGAATATCCCCCTTTACCCCCTCCAATCACTCGTCGTATATCGAAAGATCAATTTCTCGTGGTACCGCGCCACTCAGCCTTGAAATGGCACCGGTACCCCCAAAATCCGCGAAACCCGCGAAATCTGTGTTAACCTCCAAAATAGGGAAACACAACCACCAGACAAGTCTGGATACCCCGAAATCCATGCGTGAAATAATTAGAAGCGTGGCAGGTCAGAGAATGAAAGGCTCTGGACTGGTAGCTAACGCCTCCGATCTCGACCAGATGGAAGTCGACATTATCTCACAATTGGAGGAACGCGGCCAAACCGACACTGTGATGTTGGAAGCCGAAAAAATAATCAATGAATTGATAAACAAGGGTCTAAAAGACTCACGATGGGCAAGCGCAGGAGCTGAGAGCTCCCTAGAGGCGGTAAAGACCCCGGAAATTGTCGTCGAGAAAGCAGTCTCGACGAAACCAACGACCGAGCCCGCACGCCGTGCGGCTAGAAAAATTGCTGTTCCCGTAGTAAAGCGGACATCAATCAAAAGTATACCGACGGGAACGGAAGTCCCCACTTGCACAGAGGCAGCAAATGCCTCAAGACCTCAGCCACCCCCGGCCTCGATTCCAGGGACGGCTGAGTGCCACAACTACTCTTCTGGTGGTGCTCCCACCAGCACCACGCCAATTCACCCGCCGGAAATAGAGGCTTTACTCGAAGCCGAAAGAAAGCGGGCTGCAAACACCTCAGCCAGGCTCGAGATAGGGTCAACGGTGCTACAAATATTGGAAAGTGTTATCCTGTCCATGAAAACAACAGATAACAAAGAATACTTGGACGCGATGAACGTGTGTCTGAGGGGCGCCCTCGCCCACTTCCTGCGCACTGGAACCACACCAGT